CGCCCCTGCAGGTGCCTTGCTTCCGCCTCTCTGGCACCCCAGCCTGTGCCTTCCCATGGCATGGTTGTTGTGGGGGCAAGGGCTGTGACGAGGTGGAGGTCTCCCCCCACGACTGCAGACCCTGGTCGCTGGGGCAGAGGGTCCTGACAGTGGACCTGGGTGGCTGGGGCAGAGGGCCCCCCGACAGTGAACCTGGGTCGCTGGGGCACAGGGCACCCCTGACAGTGGACCCGTGTCGCTAGGGCAGAGGGCCCCCAACCGTGGACCTGCATCGCAGCTCATCATGATACCACCCTGACAGCACACGGTCAGAACAGCCCATGGGTGGTGCTTGGTGCTGCCTCTGGCAAACACTATTGTCACGTCTTCCCTGACAGCTGTTGCCCATGTCGTGAAAGACCCTTAAAAACACCAAGCTCGTCATCTCTCTAACACTGGAGGTGAAGGACACAGCCGTGGTGTCCCTGTGCCGTGGAGTTTCGTGGCTGTGCCGTGGCAACGTGTGGCCCCTACTCACTTTGTGTCCATGGTGGCCACAGGGTCTGCCCTGTGCTTTGCTCTCAGAAACACACTCTTCATTTTCATCTCGGCCACAGAAGGCAGGAGAACGGGCACCACAACACAGAAGAGCGAGAGCCGCGGGGGCAGGGCTGTCCCTGAGGGCGCCTTCTTCTGCTGCCCCAACAGGAACTTCAGTTTTCCTTGGAACTGCATCGTCTGCCATTTACGGAGGAAAGGAAGGCTTATTATTGCAGGCAGGACTGCGAAGTGGCCAGAGGGCACAGGACACAGGGAGACAGGGCAGCCACCCCAAGGTCAGGATGGGGAAGTCTTGTCTGGGTCTCAAGAGCTCGAGGCAACACTGGCAACAGCGAGGACCTGTCTGCCAGGGTTGACCTCTTCACTGGACTGCTGTCCCAGGGACTTCAGAATGATTCATGGCTTCTCTGAAGTCTCCACAGCCTCGTGTGTATACTCACAGGTGTGTGCATCTGTGTATATCAGTGTGGTTAATATGTGCATGTGCACACACCCATGTGGTTCATGTGCGCATGTGTGTAAATGCATGTGTGCACATCCGCGTAGTTCGTGTGTGTGTCTGGTGTGTTTGCTGTGTATGTGCATGTGTGTGGATGAGTGTGTGGTATGTGTGCATGTGTGTGCATGGTGCATTGTGTGGTGCATGTGTGTGTCTGCACATGGTGTGTGTGTGCGTGGTGTGTGTATATGTGTGTGTGTGCACACGTGTCTGGTGTATGCAGTACCTGTGTATGGTGTGTCTGTGTATGTGTGTGTGGTGCATGAGGGTGTGTGGTGTATATGTGTGTGCTGTGTGGTGCATGTGTGTGCATGCTATGTGTGGGTGCATGTATGTGTGCATGGTGTGTGGGTGTATGTGTGGGATGTGTGGGATGTGTGTGCATGTGTGTGGTGCATGCATGTGTGTATGCTGACCCACACAGGAGCGAATGAATGTGCACCTGTTGGGCTGTCACTGACTGTGGCGGAACTGTCAGACAATTCCCTGGTCAGAATTTGCTGGGGAGGATTATCTCTGAAGACTATTTCAGCTTTAATACTCCATTTGGGCACCCACCCAGTCATCCATCTGCCCATCCACCCATCCATCTGCCCACTCATCCATCCATCCATCTGCCCACTCATCCACTCATCCACCCACTCACCCACCCACCCATCTATCTGTCCACCCACCCATCCATCCATCTGTCCACCCATCCACCCAAACACCTATCCATCTATCCACCCACCCACCAATCCATCCCATCCACCCATCCATCCACCCATCCATCCATTCATCTATCCATCTGCCCACCCATTCATCCATCCACCTATCCGTCCATCCACCCACCCTTCCATCTATCCATCTGTCCACCCATCCACCCATCCATCTATCCACCTGCCCACCCATCCATCATCCACCCATCCATCTATCTATCTGTCCATCCACCCACCCTTCCATCTATCCATCTGCCCACCCATCCATCCACCCACTTATCCATCTATCCATCCACCCACCCATCCATCTGTCTACCCACCCACCCACCCATCCATCCATCTACCCATCCATCTAGCTATCTGTCCACCCACCCACCTTTCCATGTACCCATCTGTCCACTCATCCATCCATTCACCCATCCATCCATCTACCCATCCATCTATCCATCTGTTCATCCATCTCTCCCCTCCCTCCTCCTGCCTGCCTACCCTACCATGCATGTGCCCACCCACCCATCTCTCCATCACTCTATTCATCCTCTCATATGTTCATCCATCTGTTTGTCCATCTGCTCATCCACCTGTACATCCATCCTTCCATCCATCATCTGGCTCTCTGTCCGTCTGCTCACCCATTCATTACTGAATGAACACTTGGGTGCTTCAAACTGCTGGATATTGGTATTTAGGATCCAAGGCAGTGCTGTGCTAGGAAATGTTCAACATCCATCTATCTAGGAGATAAGTTCCAAATTTCTAAGATTTACCAATTTCTTTAGTGTAAATAGTCCCACTATAGCCAATTTCAAGTTCCCAATTTAATGTTAACCAAATCTCAAAATTTCTAAAACTTTTTTTTTTTTAATTAGATTTGTGCCATAGGGCATGTTCACTTGCTGAAGAGAATCTGAGAGAGGGAAAGTGAGAAATCATCCCCTGGGCGGATGGCCACACTGCAATCCCTTCTGCGCCATCTCTCAGGAGTGTGGGCCTGGCATGATTTTCAAGTGTCTGGGTCTGGACTTGAATGGCAGTCAGCCAGGTGGAGCCATCACCCTAACCACCACACCACCTATTAGCTCCAGAATGTCTAAACTGACAGGTGGCTCTGTGGGAAGCACGAGGCTGCTCCAGGTACTACCCCCTTGCTGGGATGTGGAACAGGTGCCAACTGCCACACAGCACAGCCTGAGAGCCACTGCCGCCGGATGCCATGTGGCCCGACTCGCCTGGTCTCAATGCGTTTTTGCTAATTTTTTTCAAAGTCTGTTTGTTTATTTTTTTACAGAGACAGACAGATAAACAGACGGCACCCCAGCAAGGTTCTCATGCCAGGGCCCACCACTGCCCTCAGCCACTTGGGGTGGCCTCTGACCTGGACTGGACCCTCCTCTTACACCGTCTCTCAGAGTGGGGTCGCCACTGCACCCTCCCCCGCTGGTCCCCTTGACTGCGTTCTCTGTAAACACCCGGCCCTCCATGGCAGTGTGGGGTAAGATCGGCTTAACAGTAAACAATGACCAGGTCCTTGTCTTTGTGCCTTTTCTCAATATTTTAGCTTCAAGCCCATTTCTCTGGCTTGCCTCCTCTGCTTGGGCTTGGTGCACGATTTCACTTTAACTGTCTTCAGCCTCCACTTGATTGCATAATAAACCCTCTTTAATTTTGTGTCCTCTGGAAATAAGAGTTTTTAATTAACCAGGATTTGGTTATCTTTTTTTTTTAATAAGATCTCGCTATGTCACGATCATCCTGCTTTGGTCTCCCAGACCACAGGAGTGACCCACTACGCCTGGCTGTTCGGATGGGCCAGGAATCGGCTCGGACTCCCACGTGGCCTCAGCATGCTCCTAGAGCCGGGCTGGCTACCAAGTTTTTAAAGTGCACAACACCCCTTATCAACCAGTAAGTGATAATATCTTAACTTCCAAACATTTTTACTTTACCCTGTCATAATAAAAGAGTTTACTGTGGGCCAGCAGGTGGCGTGGTGATTAAGGTGCCCGACTCCCACATGGCTGACTGTGGTTCAAGGCCCAGACCCAGATGCTTGGAAATCACACGGACACATGTGGATGGGGGAGAAGGGAGTGTGGCTTGGTCATTCCCCCTAGAAGGTGGTTTCCTCACTTTCCCTCTGCATGTCTCTGTCTCTGTCTCTCCAGCAAGCATGGACATCCTTTAGCAAAAAAACATAAAAAAGAATAAAGGAAAATGGCATTACTGTTATTACATTGCCTCAATAAAAGATGAGTGATCACGTGTGGGTGGTCAGGAAATGAGTGCTGCTCCTCCCAGGGATGCTGCGATGGGGCAGGGGCTGCAGAAACAGGCCGACCTGTAGGATAGGTGCTGCCCTTGCCCCGGGCACAGGAGAGAGTCTTGTAGCCTCCCATCAGTCCCCTGGACTGCCTCCTTGACCTCGTGATAAACCTGCGTGTCAACCCAATGATCTTGACTGAGGGTCAGTGTCCCTATTCTGCCAATCAGAGCTATGAGTGTCTGTGGGGAAACCATCAAGAAAATGAAATCTGGGGTTGCGTAGCTACCAGGTCGCTGCTAGATGGTTGAAGCCACAACATTGCCCTGAGGGTCTGCGGGAGAGAGGTCAGAACCTGAAGGCTTGGGCACTGAGGCTGTAGGGTCCCTCTGCCTCCTTGTCCTTCATGGCCACACTTTATTGGATGTGGGAATGTCTAGAGAGAGTACTTAAAGTGAATGCTAAATAAAGGTATACCTTGGGGTCAGCAGGTAGCATAGTGGTTAAGGCACTGGACTCCCACATGGCTGACTGAGGTTCAAGTCCCAGATCCAGCAACTTAAGAGTCATGCCAGGCACATGTGCATGCATGCCCAAAATCCCAGGAGGAAAATGGAAGAGAAAGGATTGCAGCATGGCCACCCCCACTGCGGGGTGATTTCTCGCCTTCTCACTCTCTCTCTCTGTCTCTGTCTGGTGAGCACAAGTGCCCTATGGCAAAAATAATAATAACAAAAAATAAAGGTACACCTGAACTTGAATAAAGAGCTACTACAGATTTCCTGACATTCCGCCCACTTCATCTCCTCTGTGTTTTGCTGGCCTGGCACCACTCCCTACCCATGCACTCACCAGGAAGCCCGAGGTGCTGTCTAGCAGGCAGCGCACACGGCAGGCAAAACAGCGGGTCAGGAAGGCCGAGTACTCGGTGGGCAGGTCCGCGTCCGCCTCTTGGGCCCTGAGTAGCCTCCCCAGGATTGCATCTTCTCCTGCCACACCAGCATGGACCAGGGGCATGGCAGTGAGGTCAGAAAGACAGTGACAAAATAGAAGCCATCAAACTCTGATAACAGCAAGCTATGGAGCCTGTAACAAGCATGCCCACTGACATGCAGTGGGAGATAGGAGCCCAGCGCCCACGGTCAGGAGGGAGATGGGATCCCCGGGACCCGTGTGGTCACACAGCATGCATCTGCGTGCCCCTCTTTCCTGTCCCGCATGATCCCCACAGAGGTGGACATGCTCACGGACTGCCCTCACAAGTGTGTTCTTAGTATGGAGGTCTGCGCCCCGGCCTCCCAGTGCTGGCCTACAGCTGCTGGGAAGGTCCTGGTTGCAGGCACCTAGGATTTGCTTTTCAAACTGAAGGTCATAAGGTAAAGATGCCAAGCTGTGGGTTGTGGTGGAATCTTTCTTTGAATGACTTAAGATGTTGGTGTTTCATTGTTTGTTTTTAGACTGTGTCTTGTGGTCACTGGGATTAGAGTCATGCACCTCATCTAGCTTTAGGTTGGACCAGATTCAAACCCAGGCCTCCCGTGTGGTCCCAGCCTACAAGTGCAGCCTTTCAGCAGCACATGCCACTGTGGCTGGGCCGTGATTTCTGTGGCCACATGTGTGAAAGAACCAGGAACAATCCTCTTCATGGGACCCAGGAAGACACCATCTCTGCATAGCCCTGGAGTTTCTGCCTTCTCCAAGCCCATGGGCTCCTGTTACCTATCAAGGAGTTCAATGCCTGTGAGGTTTGCCTTTGTCAGTTGGGGCCAGAGATCTGGTGAGGGAGGGCCGTGTGCAGGGGGAGCTTGTGCACAAAGGGCGACCAGCTCCACACAGGCAGCAGTTGTTCAAAGAGACTCTCCCTAGCAAATCTAAGTCAAGGAGAGTTGAAATGAGAGCCAAGGGCAGAGCACCATGACGGCCCAGCCTGGCTGAGCTCAAAAGAGCAACCATTAGCATAATGGCTATGTCGCTGGACTCCCATGTGGCCGACCGCAGTTCAAGTCCCAGACCCGGTGGCTTAAAATTCATGCCAGGCATGTGTGCATGTGTGCCCAAGATCCCGAGAGGAGAATGGAGGAGAAGGGATTGTGGTGTGACCATCCCCCATGGGGGGTGATTTCTCGCTTTCTGTCTCTCTGTCTCTCTCTGTCTGTCTGGCGAGTGCCCATGCCCTATAGCAGAAACCTCTCAAAAAAAAAAAAAGTTCACAAAAAAAAAAAAAAAAAAAAAAAAAAAAGAAGAGCATCCAGCAGTGAAATATAACGAGGAACCACACACAGAGCCAGCATGGCCCAGAGGACTGGGAAGGGACATGAGGGGTGGTCTCTGCACAGGCAAATGGCAGAGGTCTCTGAAGAAGTTCAAAATCGATGCTGTATTCAATGCAACACAAAAGAAATGAGAAGGCAGGACAGACCATTCCTTCAGAAGATCACCACGTTCACATGACGTGCTCTGGTTCTGGACCCCAGGGACACGCCTGCACCCCAGGGACACATCTGCACCCCTGGGACACATTGCACTCCAGGGACACACCTGCACCTCAGAGACACACCTGTACTTCATGGACACACCTGCACCCCAAGGACACCTGGATACCAGGGGCGTACCTGCATCTAGGGACATACCCCAGAGCACACTTGTAGCCCAGAGACATACCTGCACCCCAGAGACACTCCAGGGATACACTTGTACCTCAGAGACACACCTGGACCCCAGGGACACACCTGCACCCCAGGGACACCTGGACCTCAGGGATGCATTTGCACCCCAGGGACACATGGACCCCAGGGACACTGGACCCTAGGGATGCACCTGTACCCAGGGACACTCTTGTACCCCAGAACATGCCTGAACCCCAGGGACACGCCTACACCCCAGGGACATGCCTGCACCCTAGGGACATGCCTGCAACCCAGGGATGCACCTGTACCCCAGGGATGCTTTGTACCCCAGGGACACGCCTGCACCCCAGGGACATGCCTGCATCCCAGGGACAAGCCTGAACTTCAGGGACGTGCCTGCATCCCAGGGAACACCTGCACCCTAGGGACACGCCTGCACCCCAGAGACCCACCTGGATCCCAGAGATGTACCTGTTTCTGGGTGCAGGGGTTGCCCGAACACCACCTGGGGAGGGTCCATGGCCCAGTGCAGCTGCTGGCAGAAGTCCTGACGGTCATCCACGTGGATGTAGTCATAAATGTTTTGGTGCATGACATCCGTCTGAAATATCGCAACAAAATAATGCTGGCCTCACCCTAAGTGAGCCAGCACTCCTCCTTCTAGTGACATGGGACTGCCAAACCCCATCTACCTGCTGAGAGCAAGTCACATCCATGGACGGAAATCTCCATGGAAAAGAGAAGCTCGAGAAGTGGTCTCGAGGCCCCGACACTCACTCTCTGGAAGGATGTGTCTGCAGGGTCTGGTGCAACCCCTAGAACCCACCAGCTACAGAGCCAGGTGCACTCCAGTGGCCCACCCAGTCCTTGGCCCACCCACCACCTGCCTGGGGTGCCCACATCCACCCCCAGGGGTAGAGCGGGAGGCTCAGAGATGAAGGGTCCAAGATATCCTCTTTCCTGCGTCATCTCTGACTCTCATGTCTTCGGGCCAGCAATCTGCTTCCTGGCATCCTGGCTCACTTCCATGGTATCACCAGTTCACAGTTCTCTCTCTGGTCCTCAGAAGCAAGTCTGGACCTTGATGCAGAGGTGGTGCCTGGTAGGCACCTAGGGTCCATGCTGGGATGTGACCTGCTGGACAGAGACTGCAGCCACAGCTACTGAAGGTGGACCCTGGTGACCCCAGTGTTGGTCAGGGAGGGCTCTGAATGTGCCACCCACTGCTCGCACTGACCATGTCTGCACCAGGTACCCGGCCCGCCCATGGGCTGAGCTGTCGGCCCAGGCTTGGATGGGGATCTCTGAGAACCAGCCCTTTCAGAATAGGCCTTGTTTTAAGCTTCGGTCATTTCTGAGCAGGCCGGCATACCCAGATGGCTCTCCCAGGCAGAAAGAAAACCCCTGGATAAGCTCACCAGAACAGACGAGGCATGGCAGCTTTTTCAAGTAACCCCGGCTGTGGCCATAACTTTGTGACCAGGGCTCTTGACAAGGTACAACCCCAGGGAGGTAGATGGGGAGTGTGGTTATAACTAAAAGGTCTGGGTTTTTAACACCCGTGCACTTCAGTCTTCACGGGAGGTGCGCCCCACCCTACCCTCTTCCAGGGAAGCGGGCAGCAAGGGTCCACAATGGCTGCTTCTCTGATCAGAGCTGCCCAGGGTCAGGGCTCTACACCGAGTGCAGTGGGCAGGGCCTCCTGTGGCAGAGGCGGGGACACCGGCCATTCCCAGCTCAAGCCAACAGCTCCTGGCTCAGCCGATAATGGACCCCCAAGCACAAGTCTGTGACTGAAGTGTGACCTGTAGGACAGGAAGTGCCCAAGCCATAAATGCACAGCTGGACGTGCTGCCCAGAGGGGTCGGCCACATAATCACCACCCACAGCTGGACATGCTGCCCGGAGGGGTCAGCCACATAGCCACCACCCACAGCTGGACATGCTGCCCGGAGGGGTCGGCCACATAGCCACCACCCAGACGAGGGAACGGACGACA